GTGCTTGAGCTGCGAGTAGTTGTTGTGTCGGACTTTCTGCCCCAAAGGGTCCTAAGTACCTATATAGTAGAATGTAGGGTTTCTATATTAGGAACTACTAAGATGATTTAGGGAAGTATCCCCCGTAACAGTACTTAGCACCCTTTGGGTGCTTGATGCAACAGAGTGAGGGCTTAGGGAGCACTTCTTGCACTACTCTCTGGACGCACCGGGCCTCGAGCCCCCATTTCGGAAGACGAGGCTTCATTAAAGCGGAGGCATCAAGTGATAAGCAGTACGACTTCCTTAAGGACGAAATGAACCTGAAAAGGGTTTAAGGTTCATATACCATATAGGGATTCATAGTATAAGGGTATAGGGTCCCTACCTTTAAGGGTCATTTCGTCTTTAAGGTTTATAGCATGAGAATGAAATTGAAAGCCCTGAGTTCAACTCTGGACTCCAGCATGCTGGCAGACAAGTGGATCTTCATAGGGTGCTAAACCTGTGAGGCTACAGTGGCAAACATACAGGCCTACACCCGTACCAAAACCTTATAGAGACAGTTTATACAAAACCTGCCGGAACCCCCGTAAGCTCTAAAACCCTAAAACCCTAAACCCTAAACTTAAACCCTAAACCTAAACCCTAAACCCTAAACCCTAAACCCTAAACCCTAAAACCCTAAACCCTAAACCCTAAAACCCTAAACCCTAAACCTTAAACCCCCCTGAACCCTAAACCCTTAGGGCCTTGATGCGGCCTTCTGGGAGACCCTTAGATGCCCGGAGGATCGCGAGAGGAGCCGGGACCGGGACCGGGCCTGGCACTCAAAAGGGTTGAGGCATTTGGGGGTTTAGGGATTTAGGGGTTTAGGGTTTAGGGATTTAGGGGTTTAGGGATTAGGGATTTAGGGTTTAGGTTAAAGGATTCAGAGGTTTAGGGATTTAAGGGTTTAGGGTTTAGGGATTTAGGGTTTGGGGTTTAGAGCATCCAGCCTTACATCAGGAGTTCAGGTTTGAACTTAATAAGCCTGAGCCGCGGCATATAGAAGCCCTCCATACAGTGCTACCTGAAAGCCTCGGCCCTAAACCTGGGTTGGGCTTGTGCATCAACCCAACGGCTATGCAGCGCCATACCCGCATCCCAGCGCAGGGATCGAATGAATCTGCTCTCTTATCCTATAGACTCCTAGACAGTAGACCAGAGGCTATAAGTTATGTCCTACCCTATGCAAAACCTACAAACAAAACCAATGGCAACTCTATACTCTACAACTTCTGGTAACAACTGATAAACCACTCTGAAACTTACAAGAACCCCTACACCAAACCCTGTCGAAACCTTTAGAGCAACCTTGTGGTGCCAGGCTCCAAGAGCCCCCTAAGCCCCAGACCCTACTGTTGATAATATAGATCCTGCATTTCCTTAAGGCCTTTAAACTATGGGAATTATGGTATATTCCTTATTGTGGGTAATACAGGAGTTATATTATCAACCGTAGTTCTCCCAGGACCGCGAGGAAAAGCGCCGAGGAGGAGATCGCAGTCGCAGTCGGCGACGGGGTGAGGAGCGCGAGCGCAACCGAGACAGGCGGAGTTTTAGGGTTCATAGGTTTAAAAGGATTAGGAATTCAGGGTTTGGGAGTTAAGGATTTAGGGATTTAGGGTTAAGGGTTTAGAGTTGAGGGTTCTTGGCCAGTTAAAGGCAGGTTGGCCGTCCATGGCAGATTCCATGCATCTTGTTCGTGCTAGAAGGATGACAGTCAATCGCGAGCCCTTCAGAAGCAGACCGAGACTTGCGATGCACGAAGTTTGCTAATGAAGTCTGCTACTCAAGCTTCACTTGCGTTCCGGACGGTTTCGGCTTTGGCTTGTCATTCTGGAAAAGGAAGGCTCGAGATAACATATTCGACCCAACTATTCCCCTAAACCCCTAACCCCTCAACCTTAAACTCTTAAACCCTAAACCCTGAATTTCTAAACCCCTAACCCTATACGCCCTAAGCCCTAAAAACCCTAAACCGCCAGGGACCGCGATCGTCAACCTGCCTCGCTTAGAGTGCTTTTGCCTTGTCCGGCCTCCGGGCATTGCTCGTCTTACTTCCCCTAAGTTTGTTTAGGGCGTTTAGAGGTTTGGGGTTTAAGATTTAGGGGTTTAGGGACAAAGGAAGTCAAGTGGTTCTTTCGGAGTCTGGTGAAGTGCTAGACAACCGCACGGCTGACAGACTTCTGAGTCTGCGCAAGAGAGAGAGAGAGAGAGAGAGAGAGCGAGAGAGCGAGAGAGCGAGAGAGAGCGAGAGATGGAGAGAAGGTGTTCAGGGTTTATGGGTTAGGGGTTAGGGGTTGGGGGTTCAGGTTTTAAGGCTTAGGGTTTAGGGTGTTTAGGGGTTTGGCGGTTTAGGGTTTAAGGTTTAGGGATTTAGTAATTTAGGGTGTTCAGGGTTTAGCGTTTACGGGTTTAGGGTTTTAGTGTAGTTCAGTTTCACAGATATCAGATAACGCTTCATGCCGCAAGACTCGGTATACTTGAGGCAGACATGGACAGATATGCATACCTACTGTATGGGATTCGGTTGCAAAGCTCTGCGGTGGGGGATGATGGGCGTTCATCATTATTAGGCGTTCGTGGTTTAATTGCCGGCAATGTCCTTAAATTCTAAACGCTGAAATGACCGTCTGTGGAAAACTACACCCTACCACCATTCAAGTCATGTTGTTCAGGCGTTCGTGTTGCTGAAACAACAGATAGGTGTCGTATGCCGAGTCCCATCTTCTAATCCCCGAAATGAGCGGCTAGCTGAGTTAACTGCATCATGTGTGTTTCTGGACTGGGTAAGAGCAGACAGTGATCGAAAGATGTTGACCCTGCACATCAAGATCTTCATACAGTTTCCACATCGCGTGCAGGGCTAAAGACCTGATGACTTTAGACTGCGCTGGAGATCACACAAGGTCATGTTCGATTACTGGATCGTTTCGTATATATACAGAGCATTGCTCTGGGGACAGAGAGGTGTAGAGTGCTTCATGGCTATTTCTCAGACTGTGTGTCCTGCTGCTTCCCCAACAGCCTGGCAGCTTTCGGAAGCGGTGACATTCCATGCTCAGCATGTGGACCCTGACTCCGCACTCCCGAGCCGAAGGACGGTCATAGACTTTAATAGGCTCCGAGTGCAGCTAAGCTCGCCGGCTTAACTTGGAATTGAGGGTTGTTGTGCTTGTTTCGGTTTCTGAATGGTCAGAAACCCATAACATTGTCATGGCATAGCGTCTGTTGCAGCACTAGAAAGTAGCAACTGAAACTACTAGTAAATTTAGTATGAGTTTGTCGTGTTCACTGGCCTTCCCATGCCGCTGTGCCACCTGCTGCGCAGTGTCTCAAGATCATGCGAGACTTCGTTCAGTCCCAATCAGCACAGGCACAGCAAGTCTTACAGTGTGTATATATAAATCTACGAAGAAAGATTTTCCTACATATATATATATATACACACAGAGTTATTCACAGAAGGACAGAGAGGAAGACATAGAGAGAGAGAGATATAGAGAGAGAGGTCGTAGGTGTACCTCGCACCTCCGGCTTCATGGTTCAGGTTGATGCTCCCTGTCCCAGTTCGTAGGGTTGCAGGTGACATTTGAGAGCGTAGGTCCTCGGAACCATGAGTGTCGCAGCACCGTAACAGCGACTACACCAGCAAACCATAAATAGCAGTAACAGACCCTAAGCCCCTAAACCATAAACAGAAGACAGTCTCGGCGCCTCGTGGTAAGATGGCCCGACAAAGCCAGCGGCTCCTGCCCGCACACGAAGAAGCGTGAGCCTCAGTGAGTAGCAATACCTAAACCCTTGAACGTATGTAAACTAGTAGCCCAACACCTATACACAAGGCTACATAGAATAGGTAGTGAGTAGTAAGGCTCGGACTTTGTGGCTTCAAGTTTCAATCTTCTTGGGTCTTCAACTATTCCCAAGCACTTGTGTTCGAGTTTAAAAAATAGGGCTAATGCATCGCATGCAAAGGGCAATCCTAGGTGCAGGGCAGACGGGGAAGCGAGCACGGAACAGGCATGGAATAGAAGACTGAACGAGTACAACTTGTTATTCCTTGGGGTGTTTTCGCTGCAGATTTACTTTAATACGCCTCTAGACCCCGTTCCAATCATCATGCCCTCTACGTTTCGATAGATAACACAGAAACTGATGCCTGCTTTCGACAAGGAGGCGATGTAATCTTCAATCATAATAATGAGTGCTGGGTTCTTACGGAGGACCTCAGAAGACTCAGAGGTAGCTACCAGAGATGCCACAGCAAGGAACACATTCAATGCACACAAAGTATCCCTGCCATGGCAGCTTAAAGTAAGCTCCATAGCATGGGTCCACTGTATACTGTATTAGTAGCCCAATATGTAAATTTTAAGCTTGTTTGGTATATTGAACTCCTACTAAATGGAAAGTTTAAAGTTTTTGGGCCAGGGTACTGGGAAGCTAAGCACTGTACAGTCCCTTGACATCCGATTATCTCTTGACATTGGGCGGTGAGGAAGCTGCAGGACTTTGGAACTTGGAGGCGATGGTCGTATCCCGAAGGCTCTGGGAAGTCATGCGGCTTAGGATTTAGAATCTGGGCATCAGATAATATCGGGGCCTTAATAATTTTAGTAGGGCCTCGGGGTATTTTCTACTACAACCATAATAAGGAACCCCAAGAAGGGATTGGTAATTATTTAGGCCCCTACTGCACCCTGCTGTAGCAAGTGTTGGCCGTTGTTGAGCCTCAGGCTTTTGGAGCAATGCTAGGTATAAGCGGGAAGGTTTCACCTTGAGCTCCACACGGCATGCCATGGCTCAGCATCCCAAGAAGTACATGGACCCTGAAATGGAGACTTCAACAGACAACTACACTTACTTGGCATTGTTCCTGAGAATCTGAGACCCGCGCTCAGAATGAAGCAGCTTATCTACATTGCTCTTCGGCGTGCGAATGCCCAGGTGTGGTGACGATCGCCGCAGTGGCAATGACGATGTCCAAGACCAAGCTTGGGCGAATGCAGGGCTTGTGCTTGAGAGTAACATGCCTGTCTTCCCTGACAAAGGAACACAAGAGATCGAAGTTGTTAAAGATACAAAAGAACGAAACATTTCAACATTTCAACATTGCAGCATATGTAGGCCCATACAGTCGCACCTTCATGAACGCAGAATGTCATCGCACACGGAGTGTGTCGAAGAAGCCCGACACAAGATGTCCAGATTGAGGGCGGCAGACTTAATGGCCTAAGCACCCAGGCATCAGACATCAAGCCCTCCCTCGGCTTCCTACACCTCAACCCTAAACCCTAAAACCCTAAGCCCTAAAACCCTAAACCCTAAACCGTGAACCCCGAAACCCAAAGCCCTCAAAGCCGGAGTTTGGGTGTAGGGCAACTTTGGGTGTATAGGGCTGAGCGGGTGTAGGTTTGTCGGCCCCTCGACATGGACAGATCCGTTGCGCAGCTTTGTGTAAGAGAGATGAGAGTAGGGTTTAGGGCTTAGGGTTTAACTTAGTTCTTTAAACCTTTTGGGCTCTTATAGTTTGGTATAGTAATCTGAAAGTTTAACCTTTTATTTTGCGGCTTTTTGGGGAAGTAAGTTAGGGAGGAGTTTCTTTGTAGTTTCTGCGGTTCGTGCTGCCCGTTTTAAACGTTTTGGCCCTAGAGCCTTGAAGGACTGTAGATGTTGAACCCAGCAATCAACAGATTGAATCCCCTCAAATCGACATGCCCTCAGAAAGCCCCAGCTTCTAAACCCGAGTGTGAAGGTCGAAGCCTTAACAGTTCAATAGTTTCTAACGGTTGATGACAGAACTCCTGCATTGCCCATTATAGGGAATAGACCATAATTCCCATAGGTTAGGGTCCTTGGGGTAATGCAGGATTTATACTATCCACAGAATGAATCCCTGTACCACCTCGTCCCTACGAACCCTTCCAACCTAGACTGCAAACCCTTCCAGGCTTGTCCCAGTTGTGAGTGTTGAAACCACAAACCCCTATTTCATGCTGAATTGACTGATATCTCTTGTTTCATCCCTTCTTTCCGATTGGAGAAGACATTTCCATCAATTTCAAAACCTTCCAAATCCTCGCCCTAAATCCTAAACCCTTAAACCCTAAACCTTTAAACCCCTCAACCTAAATTCTAAACCCTAAACCCCTAAACCCCAAACCCCAAAACCTAAAGGCACCCGGCTTCGCAGCGGCTTTGGCCTTTAGCCTCCGCCGCGGCTTCGGCGGCTGCCAGCGCGGCGGGCGCAGCGGCCAGCGGCCTCTTGGGCTCTTTGGCCTGCGATTTGCTGTTAAGGCTTTAGGGTTTAGGGTTTTAGGCTTTAGGGTTTAGGGTTTTAGGGTTCAGGGTGTAAGGTTTAGGGTTTTAGGGTTTTAGGTTGTAGGTTTTAGGGTTTTTTGCTGTCGAAGCCTGTTGCACAAAAAAGGTTTTTTGCTGTCAAGGGTTTTAGAAGCATTCCAGGACCCCTCCTTGTACCCTCAAATAAATATGGTCCCAAACAATGGGTACTTGGGCTAGATGGAGGGTCTAGCTTAGGGTTTCGGGTTTAGGGTTTACATAAACAAGTGTAAGATGGTTCAAGTAACCAGCCGCTTCCGTGCCAAAATCACCCTCGACATCCTTATCCCGAGCCGAGATATCAGATAGACATTGAACCAAAGAGCTGAAAGCTGCTCGGAACTTACAGTGATCCCAGAGACTCCAATATCCCTTACTTAAGGAATATAATTCGGTTTAGGGTTTAGGGTTTAGGGTTTAGGGTTTAGGGTTTAGGGATATAATTACCTTAAATGATATGAGGGATCCTACTATAATTTAAGGTAGATTCCTTAATTAAAGGATATTGGAGTCTCTGGGATACATCCTTCGGTGCAGAAGCCTTCCAGCCCCTTGCCTGAAAAGATGCCGCGCGCTGAAGAAATAGGCGTTTCCGAAACTAGAGGTACCTTATTTTGGGGTCCTAAAAAATAAGGAACTACTATTTAGGGTACTACTTTAGGGTCCCCTATTTTCGGATACTCCCAAAAGGAGGTCTAACAAAAGAAGTTCATTGCGTTTTCGGGTTTTGGGGATGAGGCTTTTCGGGTTCACGGTATGAGTGTGCTCGTGGCTGCTGGTACCAACTGATATCCTGCCCTTGTCGCTTCTCACCATGAGCACCCGCACAGACTTTAAACCCGAACTATACCCCTAGACTTCAATACCCCTAAACCCTAAACCCTAAACCCCTAAACCCTAAACCCTAAACCCTAAACCCTAAGTCCCGCCTCCCTAACCGCCAACTCCCTGAACAGCGCAGGCACCAGCTCGTCTACGGACGAACCGCCGGAGGTCCGATGTTAGTTGTACATGTAGCATATGGCAGGATGTAGCATTTGGGGTTGAATCGCCGTCGTGGTGAAGGAAGGTTTCATTTTGTTCTGAGCAGAACGCAATACTTGTAGGAGGAACACGAGGAAGAGATGGCTTTGAACAAAAGCAAGACGTTTCGAGGGCTTCTATGGAAAGCAGTTTTGGTGGAAGGTCACAGCAACTGCGATGGCATCTCAAGCCCGAATAGCGTTTATGGATACTTAGGGAGACGGTTCCGATTCCCGCAGAACATCCAACGAAGTCTCGCGTAATTTGTCCAATCCTCAGGCCCATACCTGGTTAGTTCTCTAAATTAGGGTTCCTTTTAAGGTCCTTTTCATAAGATTTTTGAAACCTAAAAGGGACCCTAACTTAGAGAAACTGCCCACTTTGCGCGAGGCGAGTCGGAAAAGCTCCTTGCTGTTGCAAGAGCTGTCGCTGACCGCAGAGAGGTGACCTTCCAAAGCCAAGGGCTCTTTTATCAGCTTTCAGGCTTCACGACGGTTTAGGGTTTAGGGTTTTAGGGTTTAGGGTTGAGGGTTTAGGCTTTAGGGTTTAGGGTTGCCGTGTTTAGGCATGAGAATTTTCTGTGGGGCCTTCTCAAGAACACTGAGCCTGGCGAGCCTCGCCTGGATTGTCCGAGGTTGAGCGCCGAAACAGTAGCCGTAGCCTCCTTGCTTGCCAGTCTTCGGCCACATGGGGGTTTCCGAAAATAGGGGACCCTAATATAGTACCCTAAATAGTAGGATCCTTATTATAAGGACCCCAAAATAAGGTACCCTAATTTTCTGAAACTCCCACATCATCCACATCCATGTCTCTAGTTGGTCGTTGTGTGGAGCCTTGCCTGGTTCGTGCGAGCGTGAGTGACGGAACCCAAGCAGGCTATCCAACCCCAGGACCCCTCATTTTGAGGCACCTCACCTCCAAGAATGTCCGCCCCATGTAGATTTCGTACTGAACTCGGGCCTTTCACAACAACTCGTTCCCCTTCACTGGCGCAGTGTATCGGTGTTATTTGGGCGCCTGCAAAATGGCCAATATCCTTAGAGACCTTGAGTTGAAACATAAATATCAATATGCATATATATATATATATATATATATTTATTTTTTATACACATATTCAAAATAGTCTAATGTTTCAGGCCCCCATACTCCTCAAAGGCTAGGCTATTCTTCGTGCCTTCTCTGCGAGTTCCTATCCGTTGAGCCTTGAACAACACAGGTGTTGTGTTGTTCTTCGGGTGGGGGGCAGGTGAAAGTATACTTAATGCCTTGTAAGACTAGGTTCCCCGACAGTAACCCGTTCGCCCTTTTTAATGTAGTGCCCCATGCCCAGATACCTCGAAAAGCCAAGCTTAACCTGTAGGCCAGATACCCACGAAGCCCTGAACCCTGAACCCTAAACCCTCTAAACCCTAAACCCTAAACCCCTAAACCCTAAACCCTAAACCCTAAACCCAGTGAGTGCTGAAACCCTAACCCCGTTGTCAGGGCCCAGGCCTTGGCATGCAGTGTTGCAGACCGGCTCAGCTTCGCCAGGACTTGCTTTCGAGCTTCAAGCTAGGTTCCGGGGAGCTGTAGAGCGGTTCTGGGTTTAGGGTTTAGGGTTTAGGGTCTGATGGGAAGTTGCTGTTACAGTGTTGCACCTGTGGGGCTTGAGTTAAGGTCGGTGGGGATGTGGGGCTGGAGATGAAACGAGCCCAGGAAAAAGATTGGCCACTCCACTGTCTTGCAGCTACCCTAAACTACAGAGATGTACTGGCAGTTTCTGGTTGGTTGAGATATCGCCTACTATAGCAGCCAGCCTGCACAGTTGTCAATGCTATTCCTTGGGGTTGCTTTTTGTGAGCGCAACAACACACCCTAAGCCCCCGTTCGAATTGTAACATACCTCGAAGCCCTGTCCTTGTTCTTAAGACGCTAGATTGCTATCATGCGCTGTTATGTACAGCCGTCGAGGACGGAGCTGGACGGTGCCATCTCTCCTGCAGGGCATGTGTTCAGGCAGCGGGGGAGAAAAGTAACGAGGGCTCGTAGACGGGTGGATAATGCAGGGGTCGGAATGATTAGTACTCGTATCACTTGTCGTCCCTTAGAGCTAGCCTGCGGCATAACCCCCCCTTCAGAGAACAATTAACTTTTCAAATTCTAAGGGCCGCATGTTGGACTCAAGCGCTTGGGGTATGTTGGCTTGCTTGCTTCGAGCCTTACAAACCCTAAACCCAAAACCCTAAACCGTATAAACCCTGCTGAGTTTGTTAAGGCTGCCAGGGCCGTGGCCCAGGGCTGCTCCAAGTGGCCCCTGAATCAGAAAGCCCCTAAATCCTTTAGGGGCCTTAATAATTAGAATCGGGTTGTGGGGCCCACCATACTATAACTATAATAAGGAACCCTCCAAAATGGTATTGATAATTATCAACTAGCAGAATTTAGGGTTTTTCAGGCTGTAGGGTTTAGGGTTTATAGGGTTTATAGGGTTTAGGGTTTAGGGGTTTAGGGTGTAGCAAGCATGCAACAGACAAACTACATCGAACTGCACACCTGAGCACTGGTAGTAGGCGTATTTCTCCAGCAGGGGGGTGGGCGGGGGGGGTGGGCGATGGCATGAAGATATGGGAAGTGCACACTTGGCGATTGATCAGTAGTGCATGATCGCCGAGTTGCCTTTGGGAATATGTTTCGAGAGAGGGATGGGAGCCAAAGCAGCCAAGGGCACTCCCATGGGGTCTCACCATGACACAACAATGAAGGCTCGTTGAAAGTCGCAATCTACGATGGTTTTGTTTCACCGCTCTTGGTGTAATGGGCGGTGTGTATTCCTTTAACTCAGACGACTTTCCTGTCTGACTTCGTAGCTGAGTGAATGCATGTTACACTTTGGGGGGGGGTAATATGACCCCCTGAAATACCTGAAATGTTACACTTCTTGGATTTATGCACTCATCATTTTTTAAGTTGAGGCTGGAGCCGAAACCCATGAAAGGTTAATGTCGAGAGCAAAGCCACTACAGGGGGAAAGGACGCGCTGTAGCCAGCCTTTGTCAGGCACTGACTGTGCAGCATGACAAGCAGGAGCTTCCTTCACAACGACAATTCAACCCCTTAAACCCTTAAGAAGTTCCCTAAGCCCTATAAACCCTAAATCCCACACGCCGAAGCTTTGAGAAGTGCCAGGGGGATCTGCGCAGCTGGGCAGAGAGCTTCGTTGGGGAGCTCAGGACCCTGGATTTCGAGGTGTTGTGGATGTAGGATCCAGCTTTTGTCCAAGTGTTGTGGGTTTAAGGTTCGGGCTTTGCTTTCGGAATCTTCTGCAAAGTATCTTATTTTGGGGTCCTTATAATTAGGATCCTACTATTTAGGGTACTATAGACGGGTACTATATTAGGGGCTTGGAGAGGTAGGGGAAGAGGCTTTCAAGCCTTGGTTTTCGGGGCTGAGGTGAGTGTACCCGGATCAGCCTGAACGCATGTGGGTAGTTCTCTAAATTAGGGTCCCTTTTTAGGTCCCCAATATAGTACGGCACCCTTATAAAAAGGACCCTAAAAGGGACCCTAATTTAGAGAACTACCCATGTGGTTCCTGTATCATCGGGCCTGTATATGTGATTTGGGATTCTTTTGGAACCGGCTGGGAGTCTGTTGATGCTTCCCAGAAAACGTCATTGTTTGCCATTGCGACTGTTGGTCAGTGCCTGCGTTCGTTGGCGTTGTTGCCCCTTTGGTCCATTATGCTGCTGCTGGTACTGCTGCTTAAAGAATCCCCACTGGTACACTTGGCGCCAGGCCGTTTTCTTTTCGAAGAGGGAGCACTCCGAGGGATGGTGGGGCTCAGCCATGCGAAGCAATACTTCTCCGAGCAAAGGTCGTGGATGAGTGTTACAGGGTTTAGGGTTTAGGGGAGCTAAGCCAGCTGTCTCTCATGACGAGCTAGCGCAAGGCTTCGGATATGAAACCCTCAACCCTATACCAAACCTCATAAATCCCAAGCTCACACCCTAAACTCTAAACTTTAAAGGTGATCAGTATATATGCTCGTTCTGAATGGTTTGCTATAGGGGCATCTCCTGAACCCCAAGACTTGCTGTGAGGTGGGCCTTACAAAGACTCGGGACGGAGGCTCAGCCTCCGGCAGAGAGCTTCGGCTTTGGGGTGTAGGGTTTCGGCTTTAGGGCTTTAGGGTTTCGGGTTCAACAAGGGTTTCATAGGGCTTTGACCCGTTTGGTTACAAGGCAAGCGAGAGGTCACAGGCTTACTAGCAATAATGATCATGTACAGTATCGGCAGCGCCGGCATTGCCAATGCAGGGGTGCTGCAAAACGGACGATACGACACACCTGTCGAGATGAGTATAAGCCTGTGATGACGGCAAGTGGCAGAAAAAAACTGCACAGTAGTTGTTGAGCACGGGTCGTCATGGCTGTGCATACCACTGCCACTGAGCATTGTTCTAATCATCCACAGAAGTCAACCTTTGCTGACGACGCGATGTAGTCAATGTAATCGGCCTTCCCATCTGCACCCCACATGTTCATTCCAAACAGCACCTCCAACTCTGCCTGTGTGTGTTAGACACTGAAGTTTGCTGATTTCAACCTTGCAACATTGCAACTAATTTGTACTACATCAGGTCTTACCCAACTTAATCTTCGTATCGCCTAGCTTGCTAAGGCAAGCTGGCAAGACGCCAAATCCCAAACCCCAGTCTCAACTACTCTAGCCCTGTAAACCCCAAGCCGCTTCAAGCCGGAGCCCCGAACCCCAAACCTTGCCAAGCCTGGACACTCAGGTCCTCCACAAGTGAGTTCTTGGGATCTCAGGCGCCGCAACTGCTCAGAGGGGTGACGATATGTTGCAGTATTCGGCGATTACCCGAAGGTCTTCATACACGTTTGGTGATCCTTTTCGTTTTGTGTGCTGTTACCGACGCTGCGCTGCACCATATGAACCGGAATCACAAGGGACGATTGTACGGGGGTATTGGTAGTAGATATTCCGAGCCTTACATCAGTGTCCCCGACAGGACAAGAACACAAAGGCCATACCCCCGAAAGCCCCAAAATCCCAAAGCCCCAAGCCTTAAAACTCTTGTTGCCCAAATCCCTAGGCGTCTTCCAAGAAACCCTGAACCCCGAACGCTAAGCAGCTTTACCCCAAACCCCGAACTCTAAGCCTTACCCCTGCCACTAATCACTGCTAAAGCCTACAGTAAGATTTCCCACAATCCCTGAACCCTAGATGCTTTAGCCCACACCCTAAACCTACACCAAGCCCTAAACTTTACTCTAAACTCCTAAACCCTGAACCCAAGACCTTCTAATCCGCATCCCCTGGCTCCCCGACGCAAGGGCTCCAACTCCACGCTTTCGGAACTCCGTGGGCTGGGCAACCGGCTTTGGGAGAACTGGCCTGGGGCCTGGCAGAAACCCTCAAGAACTGTACCTGGAACTGTCTTTGCCTACAGTTTAGCAGCCATTACCCCTTAATTAATAGGTGGAACCCGTAAAACTGTAGGTAATTAGAGTCCCAGGTAATAACCGAGTATTAGTGAGCATAATAGTTCGAATACCAGGAATTGAATCTGGGCTCCCAAAAAATAGAATAGTAGTACTAGAAAAAGTTTAACTAGCAATAGAGATAGAGATAGAACAGTAGCAATAGGAAACCTAGCAACAGTATTGTCATAGTATTGTTGAAAAGAGAATCCCTCAGGGTCCAAGTAGTCCTTATTTGTGGTTTTAGGTACCCAAAAAAGCCCCAAAGTCCTTAAATAATGAGGTTTATGGGCTTCTGTTCCTAAACCCTAAACCCTAAACCCCTAAACCCAAAACCCTGAACGCTATGAGGGTGAAGAGTACTGCTTCTGACTTCTTACCTCAAGCCCGGCTCTCAAAGCTAAGTGAAACCCTCTGAATCGCAGCTGTCACCATAAGCCGCTAGCCCTGGTCCTTATCCCAGGGCTCCATGTACCCATATCGTACAGTATATAGAGTACCCGTATAGGAACCCCTTTCAGACCTAAGTATAAACTCGATGGGTACACGGAGCCTTGGGATATCCAGAGATTTTGTCAAGGCGTGCAAAGCACGAGGCCCTGACGGCTGCAGAACGGACGTTTCTGGTCAGCACAGCTGAAGAAAGCCTTTCTGTATAGGGCTTGGGTTTACAAAAGGATGGTATAGACTTGCATGTCCCCGCGATATTAGCGTGTTTCAGTCTTTTTTCTGCATGTCTGGGATGCACAAAAGCCGACAAGAGAGACGGGCACATTTGTCTGCTAGCCACTTCCCGTGGTCAGTTACACGACTCAGCTGGACCCCCTAGATGAGACAACTATGTCCAACACCACCAACATTGAGGACTGAAGCCCTGAATCATCCCTCGTTGAACCCAAAGACGAACAATTTCAGTTTTGATTGCAACTCTCTGTGCAAATATTCCGCCCGAATGGGTGGTTCCCCTTCGCGAGTGGACCTGCCTGGGGGAAAGCTAGGTAGTTGGATGATACTCGCAGGTGCAAGGCTTTATTAAAACTGATTCGATAGACGATACGATAGATGCGCACAGCAAGAACTGCATGTGTTTCTCTCTTTAGCTTCCCTGCAGTGCCGCGCAGAAGCTCCACCTAGTGGAGCTGGATAATACTAGTACTGTCCATAGCACCCATGCTCACGCGCAGACTTCGACTGGTGACTTCTTATGTCATTATAAGAGTCCATACATACCAATGCTCAGTCTGGCTCAGCTGCCACCACCACTAGGCTGATGCTCCTCACTGCTGCCTCTCATAGCCAAGCTCTTTCGAGTTCTGAGGTATCTCGGCCTGTTGGCAGATGCTCGACGCAGTGCTGCTACCTCTACGGACGGCCACGCTCTAGTCATTGGCACCAGGGTGGCCTCCTAGATTTCTGCATCCGCTCTAGGCCCGATAACATGACCTAACATAGACCGCCCCCCCCCAATCTTCAGGGCTTTGGTGCTATCCTCCGTTTGTTTTGCTTCGGATCTGGCGCAGTTGCCCTTCGTAGAGCATGCTCCCTGGCCCAACTTGGTAGCTTTGCTGATGCCAGTCGGCAAGCTGTCCAAAGTTTCCTAGCCCGCGGCCTTGCGCGCATCTGTCCCTGCGTGAAGCGTGGGTGAATCCCGATGCCTTTGCAATCAGAACTGCGGAGGAGCTCAAGTCGTTGAGAGCGCAGTTTGCCGAGGCCGCTGTGCAATTTGCTTGAGGTCCTTCTCTAAATTAGGGTCCCTTTTCGGTCCCAAATATAGTACGGCACCCTTAGAGAAGAGACCCTAACAAGGGACCCTAAGTTAGAGAACTACTCAGGGGCTCCTATGTAGTTCCGTTTTGGATAGCATACTATAATTCGGGACCAAAAAACTATAACAGACCCAAAAAGGAACTACATTGGAGCCCCTGGGTACTCTATATAGTACGGCACCTTTATAGAAGAGACCCTAAAAAGGGACCTTAATTTAGAGAACTACCAATCTAGCATTTCGGGTTAGGGCACTTATAGAAGAGACCCTAACAAGGGACCCTAAGGCCTTAATTTAGAGAGCTACTCTGCCTAGACCCTCCATCTACCTTCCACTAGACCCCAAGTGCCCATCATTTGGGACCTAAACCCTAAACCCTAAACCCTAAACATACACCCTTGTTTGAGGGTACAAGGAGGGTCCTGGTTCTGTCGACGAGACCTCGCTCTTGTTCCATTGATGCTGCCGGGGAGGCCGATGGCGACCTTGGGCCTGATGCCAGTGCCAGCCCCATCTTTGTCATACATATATATATATATATATATAGTTATATATATATATATAGTTATATATATATATGTATATAGAGAGAGTTATGTATATATATATATAGTTATATATATATATATAGTTATATATATATATATATGTATATAGAGAGAGTTATGTATATATATATATATATATAGTTATATATATATATGTGTGTGTATAGAGAGAGTTATGTATATATATATATATATGTATATATAGTTATATATATATANNATATATATATGTGTGTAGATATATACCGAAATAAATGCCAAGACTTTTTGGGGGTCTGTTAGTGTAAATATAGTACGATGTACCCCAACATCTTATTCTAATCGTGATGCCGCTGTATTTGGAATTTTTGGTGTTAGACCGGGAAGTTGAACCCACGGATAGGAAGGACTTGGCTCTCGCTGCTGGCAAGGTAGGCTGAGCATTTGCTGGTGTTGAACTGATTGCAGTCCTGGCTAACCCTTGCTGGTGGACCTTCGGGATTCTGAGCCCAGTGCTATGTCGCGGATTTGAGGGCAGTCTTTGCAGTCTCGGAAGCATGACCATGGCTTCCGCACCGGAAACGATTCAGCTTCGGTCCTAGTACAGTCTCCGATGTTAATGAGTCCAAGCCTACAAGGTTCATGCTGGTTCCGAGGTTTGCAGCAAAGAAGTGACTCGGGGTTGTCCTGCATGTAGCAGAGACGCTGCTCGGTCTCTTGCATTCGGTCCTCGGTTTTGTGGTAGGTACGAGGGGGGTTTCATTGGCCGTCCTGCCATAGGCCCAAGGTTTAATGTTACTATGGCCTCACTTTTGCTTTTCGGAGCGCTTGGTCTCGCACGACGCTCTTCTCGGATTACATATGAATGACAGTCTTTGATCCCACACGGAAGGAACTCAAGTTTCCCGTAAGCCCTCTCTCTCTCTGTCTCTCTATCTGTGTGTGCGCTAACCAATAGTCTTGACGAGGCTTACATCAACTCGCGACGCTTCTGTATGTCGAGCATTCTAGTTTTCACAGTGCCAAGCTGGCCGCGCTTCTTGAAGGGCAACATTTTCCATTTGCGCTCTTGCTTTGGGCCCCTCGGTTCTGTCCACGTGTTCGTCTGCTATTCTGCTGTACTCTCGTATCTTAAGTATAACACGATGCCTCATGAGGCGCCGACGATTATAGTACAACTACTGCTGATGCTGCTGCTGCTGC